GCCTTAGATTAAGAATAATTTAAGAGCACTATTGGATTAATATCTGAATTGAATAAAATGTGTTGATATGAACTGAATAATACCAAAACTGTGAATGTCTGAAATGAACATTGTGTGCATGATATCAAATGATTTGATTATGAATTTAGATTCAGTTTATATGGATGTTCGACGCATTAGATATGCTTACTCAGCTTTACCGCTGAGCGTGTAGTGTGTTTTATTTGCTACACGCAGGTAAGCAGAAAGCACAATGTGATCCTGGCGGCAGATGGGGCGAGATTGTCGGGATGGATGTGACAAGTTTGAAATGATTTATGATATGTCAAAATTAAATTCGCTTCCGCAATATTGTTAAATACTCCGTACTGTATATGTTATGAAAAATATTATTGAGATTAATAAAATGTGTTTGAAAAGTTTTAAATTTTACGATTACCAAGTTAAATACTTTAGTCCGAAAGGGGCTGCAGACCTGGACGGATTAGGGTGTTACAATGTCACTCATGCCCGTCACATCAAGAGCTCTGTCTTCCGCTAGTCGTATCTTTCCAAAGTCTCTAATAACCAGATTCTGCAATGCTTCACCGCTGTGGATGGCATGAAATGAAGCACCAGAATCCATGACCCAGGAATCCACATTGCTTTCCTCACAGCAAGTCAGAGCGACCTCCTCGTCACTCGGAAAGCTTTGAGCAATGTTTACTTTATTATCATTTGGGCATTGATTCCTAAAATGCCCCACCTCCTTGCACTTCCAGCACGTTACACCTGAGCTATCCCGAGTCTTCGACTGACTCCTTCGTTTGTTCCTGCTCCCACTACCTCTACTATTTCTTCTACCTCTACCAACATGAAGCAATTAACCAGATGACTCCCTGAACTCTTTCTTCTGACGTCCTCGCCAAGAACGAGATCTCGAATCTGATCAAAGGTGTATCCATCGGGTCCCACTGAACCGGTAACTGCAGTAACCGTTCTGGACCAACTATCAGGTAAAGACGATAGCAGTAGTAAAGCTTGAACTTCATCATCGAACTTAATGCCCACTGATAATAGTCTGGCTAAGATCGAATTCAACTTGTTGATATGCTCGGTAACTGAAGTGCCTTCTTTCATTTTTGTGTTCACCAGCTCTCTTATCAGAAAAACTTTGTTCGTTGCAGATGGCTTCTCGTACATGTCAGACAGCGCGTCCATAATTCCCTTCGCTGTCTTCTCCTTCAGAATGTTGAACGTAACATTCTTGGTCAACGAGAGACGGATCACGGACATTGTTTTCCGATCCAACCCTGCCCAATCTGCATCTGACATCTTTTCTGGCTTGTCACCCAATACCACGTCCAAATCTTTCTGAACAAGGAAATCTTCAATTTGCATCCTCCACCAACTGAAATATGTACCATCGAACTTTTCAATTCGGAACTTCCCGTCTTCTGCCATATCACACGACTAGACAAGATACCCTGTATAACTAATTTCAGATCTTGGTAATTTCGTCAGAAAATTAGGTCCACCACTTCAATTAAATTAGCCCAACCAAAAGTCTAAATCCATTAAAAAAACCCAAAAAAAAACAAACAAGTGGGCTGACCAGGTTTACGGCCCAACCTCCCACTTTTTTTTATTCGATCAGGATTTTCAATTGGCGGTGGTGCTCTCGCTGGACGACGGCGGCAGATCTCCACTCAAGCGGCGAATCTCTCTTGCTCTTGCCGCGTTCAGTTTTCCAGCGACGACGATCTGATTTGACGGTGTCGGCACGATCTGAAACGGCACGGCTTCGCGGCGGCTCCTTAACGTGGCGGCGGCGGATCTGGACGGCGGATGACGGCTGAGATCCCCGGCGAATCTGTGCGCGGGTCACTCAGCGGCTGCTCCTCAACGCGGTTCTTCGTTGCTGCGCGTCCCTCCTCTGGATCGCAGCTTCTGCCGCTACACAAATAGCCTACACAGCGGCGCTCCTCAATTGAACGGCCACACACCCGGGCGATCTGGATCCCACACGGTTCTTCACACAAGAACCCTAGGTGACAAATCTTCTCGCAATTTGTGTTCGTGTTGAACAATTTGCTCCGATACCACTTGTTGGGAATTAAACACACAACACACAAATAATCTGCGAGAAACGAGAGAAACGGAACACAAACGACACACAAGAATTTAACGTGGTTCGGTTTTCCTAATCCACGGCTGCAACAGGAGAATTTTCGTAAAATGGGCCGGGCCAAAAGCCAAGCCCAAGCCTCCACAAACCCTGATTCATGGGGCAGCTGTAACATGGATTTAAAATTTGAGGCATTAATGAATTAAAAAAAAGACATGATGACTCATGTAACACAAACTTGTTGATTGATGTGTACGTTGCACACTTGCACCAAAGGCCTTTGATAGCTAGGGCACATCACCCCTGCCTATTAATAAGTAAATAAATACACTTTTATTCCAAAAAATACTAAGTTTTCCTTTTATGTTGCTTAATTTATTAGTTTAATTACTATTCCCTAATAAAAGAGTTTTTCTATATTTAAGTAAAATAAAGAAAAATTCGCTCCATTTAAGACCAAAAGATAATACATTTTTCTGAATACGCCCAAATATGTTTTATTTTTTTATGACACATATTTTCGTATGCTTTGTCATATATGCCCTTATTAGCAACAAGTATTGAATAATGACTAATTATATGATTCACTGTACGAATCTCGTCATTAGTAACCAGTGTTGGATAATGGCTGATTATTTCAATTTAATAACTATTCAAATTATTTTTAATAATATCTTGTTCTACTTAAAATGTGTAATAAGTTATTTCCTCTCTCAAAGATAAGGAAGCGTGTTTTAATTCCATGTTGTATAAGTTTTTCCAATGCCACTTTTTATAAGTTTTTCCATGTTTTAAATTCTACAAAATTATTGTCCACAAATTGGGGTCGGGTTAGGGTCACGTCGGATTGTAATTTCTTCCCATGTTACATTATATTTCAACTATGAGAAAAGTGCACCGTTTACCCCCGAGCTCTTCAGAAATTGTATGATTTATATCTGAACATTTTAAATTTTAACCGTTTACCCTGAAGGCCTGAACTCTTTGAAAATTGTACAGTTTATCATTGAGACTTAAAAAGTGCACCAAATACCCTTAAATAATTTAAAACGTTGCATCATTAGTCTTAAAATGCTAGATAAGGAGTGCATTGCTCCCACGCACGAAAATTGCGAGTATGATTATATTCATCTCGGCCTTTTGAATTTTCCAAAGTACTCTACCCCAAAATTTTCTTCTTTAATTAACCCAACCCTAGAAGTTGTTGTTTATCAATCGATTTGGATTTTCGAGGCATCTTCATCGTCGAGTTCCAACCGTCTCAATCAATTAAGAAAATGTATAATTCACGTTGTGATTGACCGTGAGAAATAATGCAATATCATCTTTCCTATATGTACTGGAAGACCGTACCTTGGATAGCTTGCACATTATCAGGCCAAGTATCATGCACTCGAAATAATGTAATTGTGTAACGTTTTAAATTGTTCAGAGGTATTTGGTACACTTTTTAATGTTTAGAAGTAAATTATATTTTGGTTTCGGATATATTTTGATTCAATTATATTTTGGTTTCGAATATATTTTGTATATATGTTGTTTTCAAAATAAAGCTTAATTATTTGTGTTCCTTTTTTGTCATATCTCATTTATCAATTTATCATCAATTCATCACCTCATATTATTTTATACATTTTCTAATTTTACTCCCTCCGCCTTGAAAAATCTTTGATATTTTATTTTTTGGTCATATTTTGTAAATTTAAATTATGAATAATGAAAAAAGTATATTTAGTCATAATATAAATTTAATATAATTATATTGATTTTAACCTACAATTTTGATATATTAAATTTTAATAACTTTTATTGTCTTTATTTTTATATATGCAAAAAATAAAAGATAAATTTCAATAGTGTTTCGTTCCAATTGAATAAAATTGAATGCAGTTGAATATTTTTTTGTAAAATTAGGTGAAATTAATTGATATTCATTCAATTTTACTTCTAAAAACTATTGCAATGAATGAGATTGAATACAAATGAGTGCTAAGTTTATTAAAATTATTTGAAATTCAATCAATCTTATTCTTAACTTGACAAATTTGAATACAATTACGTTAAATTGAAGGGGAATTAGGTGAAGTTAAATAAATTTTGATGAAATTACATAAAATTAGATCCAATTTGATGAAATACAATAAATACAAGTTCTTATCAAATATATACATAGATAAAAACTAACTTGGAATAATGTTTTGTTCCCAATCAAATATAATTGAGTCTAATGAAATGAGAATTAATTCAAATTAATGAAATTAAAATTATTTAAAATTAGAAAATGATATTCATTATATTCTATTTATGTCCAAAAATTGTTTCATTCCAAACATATATGTTTTCTAAATTAGAAATTAATTATTAGAGACTCCCAGTAAACTTTATTAATCTGGAAATCCAAAAATTCCAGAATGAATAAAATTTATAATTTTGAAAACTATTTTTCAAGACAAGAAAAACCAAAATGATTTTATAAATATGCATTTCGAAATAAAATAGTTTAAATGCTATTTAGGGAAATGACTTAAAGTTTAGTGCTACTTAGTACAAATATCTCTTAAGATATTTATTTAATCGAGTATTTAATTGTTTCCTGATCACTAAAATGAAAACTAAATTCAAAAGGAGCTGTCTCTATGAATCGAGATGTCTTATTACGGCACCAGACGAGCATGACTGTAGTGTCATTCATTTGCACGTTCCTTGCTATGATTAAGTATTATCTTGAGTACATACACATACACACACAATGTAAATATATATATATAGGAAAAGAGAGCTTATATATATATATATATATATATATATATATATATATATAAGGTGTTAACATACATAAATGCACATAAAAAACTTGATCCAAACCAAACACTACGCCGCTGATGGACCATTAACAACACATTGAACTCCGATTAGATTCATACCGAGGTCGAAGAGATCAGTGGTCACGGCTACATTTGCAGTTGTGACCAACTCACGGGTTTCGTCGCCATCCAATCCATAGGTGGCGGCGTAGACACCAGCATTATTATAGCTGACTTTTTTAAGAGAGTGGTCGTTGTAATCGAGACTTGGTTCATTGTAGATATCCCGCCACATGTTCACGAGCGCCTTGATCTCATCCCGGCTCATCTGATCTTCCTTCCCGGTGTACCGCCACGGCTTTGCCCCGTCAACGCAATAGTGGACAACTTTGGCTTTGCTGAGCTCCACTTTGTCAGGATGGCGCCATAGCATGTTCACTAGCATGTTGTAAACGTACGGGAGTCGCTTGCACTTGTCTTTGAAGAACATATTTAAGAAGTCCTATATAATGTTGTTGTAGTAATTAACAAGCTTTGAAATTGCATACATGTTGTCTTGATAAATATAGCCACTTTACCATACAATTTCATATGTTTTAATTCTATGAATTCATTAGTAAGCAATGACTTGTTTTTTCAATCTTCTCTGTTATTACTATTTCATAGAGTTACATGCATAAATAGCCCTCATTATCAATAAAGTTGGTAAATAATATTCAAACTTTCAAAATTTGTAAAATATTCCCCATGGTAAATGAATCAATGCATAATCAGTCCTTTCTTTAAGAGAAAATGTGGTTCGCACAAAACACATGCATATTATGCAAAAACTAGTGTTAACCTCGTACTTCGCATGAGCTCGTATACATTCTAAACTTTTTACCCTAAAATTATAGGGAAAGACCAAAATATGATTGAAGTTTATGGAAAGAACCAATATATAGTCTAATAAAATCTACTCCCTCCGTCCCAGAAAACCTTTCTCCTTTCTTTTTTCATCCGTCCCAAAAAACATTTCTCATTTCTATTAAAAAGTCACTTTTACCCCTTATTTTTTCATACCCTACCTATCACATCATACCTTTTTACTAATAATCTATCCATCAAATCATACTTTTACCCATCACATCAAAGGACATTTTTGGAAATTCAATACCAAAATACACTCTCCTTAAATCCCTTTCCAAAACCAAAACTCCTATGTTTTCCGGGACGGAGGGAGTATATAATACTCACTCTCTGTGTTCCAAAAAAATATTTCTACTTTAACTTTCTATCCGTCTAACAAAACACCTCACTTTCAACTAAAATTTCTCTTTTAGTCATACTAATTATTGACCTACCAATCACATCATATATATTAATTATTAATCTACATATTAAATTATATTTATTCACTATTAATTTATTTATCACATCATATTCGATCTAAAATTATACATTCCTTAAATCCTATACTTTTCTAAAGTGAAAAGGTGTAATGAATGTTATGGAACAAAGATAATTTATTCATTACATCATATTCGACCCTACTATAAAGTAAGAGCAAGTTTTGGAAAGCATCACCAAAATTACACATTCCTTAAATCTTACACTTTTCTAAAGTAAAAAGATATAATGGAAGTTATGGAACAAAGTTAGTAATATATTTTTACATGGCATGAAATTTGGCAACACATGGCATAAAATAAAACACATAACAGGACATTTAGAAAAAGAGCTTAGATGGCAACACATGGCATGATACTTGGCATACAAAACCTTACATGGCGAGACACATGGCGCAACCACAATTAATCCGTTTTACTTTATATATATACTAGTATTTCTACCCGTGCGATGCACGGGGTCGACGAAATTTTTGTCAATTCTGAATTTTTTTTAATGCAATATATTTTCCGGATCAGGTAAATATATTTCTAACATGATTTTTTTATCATTGGACAAAAACATCAAGGTAAAATAAATAATATTTGAGGAATTGAAAAAATATATTCAAAAATGTCTTTTTTAATTCCAAACATGTTGGCATGAAGAATAAGAAATTAAGTACGACTTTTCACCTCATGGAATAAAGGATAAGACAAATTCATTTACCATTCAACAACCTTGAGCACGGGTGCCAATAGTGCACTATCTTAAAAAAAGAATATAATAGTTTTTTATGTTCTCGAATAAGTTCGGATAAGTGAAGTTCACTATATTCTTGAGGAATAACTTGTGTTAAGAATCAAGATCTTTAACTATTAGAGCACCAACTTCATGTATTGTGGAAATATTATAATTTCTTGAGTCTCTAGTTTTACTTGTCAACAACCTCAATAATTCTTGGTGATAGAAGAAGGAAACTGAATCCTTTTGAGATTCGATTTAGTATCTTTCCTAGTTTGTTTATTTCTTGTTTTAGTAGTAATAGAAATATGGTAGAAATAGAAGTTTACTTATATGTTTTAGTCTCTTTCTATATAAAGAGGGTTAGACCTTTGTAAGCATAAGCCAATTCAATATACAAAATATTTTTCCTCTTATCAATTTCTACAATAATACATTAGAATTAGGCTCATTATATATGAAATGTTACTTCTCAACAACATCAATGATACATTAGAAGTAGGCTCATTATCCATGAAGTCTTTAGTTCTTCTAAATATCTGTGTTAAAACATTATGCTCATCTATCATATTTTTCAAATCTTTGACCAAACTTTTACCAGTATCAGTAGTCAAAGAATTATTCTCCCTACTGTGTGAAACAAATAGAACAATTTGTTTTTATTATCATGTTAATAATGTTCCATGTGTATTATATTGTCAAACACATGTAAATAATATTTTTATTAAAAGGGTGTACTTAATAAAGTATTCGAGATACCTAAAATGAGTTATTTGTTTTCATAATACCATAAATATACAATTGTGTAAATTTTGGTCTTTCACCATATTGTGACATTAACATGGTATGTAATGAGAACTCTTCACACCAAAACTATAAAATAAATTATAGAGCAAATCAAATGGTTTTCTTTAGAAGAGACAATTAAACTTTTTCTTTTATGCATAAATTGAAAACTTTAGATGTTTTGAATCTTTATTCATTTGATTATTTCTTCATAGTTCATGTCATAACAAAGTTTCCCAAAATTCACACATAAATGTAAGATTCCCAAAATAGATTGTCTCTGAAAGAAAAATAAAATATGATGTAGGCCAGTCTTATATATATACATACATACTTATACATACATACATACATACATACATACATACATACATACATACATACATACATACATACATACATACATACATACATACATACATACATACATACATACATATATAACATTCTACACAACTTACATGTTGCATATATAATCTAAACATATTTTTAATTTTTATTTCTCTAAATGCAGGATCATCTAAAATTGATTCCATTAATGTATCTTAAGCATATGAACCTTCCACCTCGACATTTAAATTTAAAATATATCGAGTGTGTCCATCATATCTATTTTCTTACATTGTTTATAATATTTTATACAAAAAGACAATAGTTGTATTATCATATTCAAAGAAATTAGTAGAAAGGGTTTATACATAGATCAATTCTCTTCTGTTTCTTATGCACTTAAAAGCGCGATGAAGCGTGTGTATAATTGTTTCGTGGTTGGAAAATTATAGATAATTTTTTGGGAAATATGTACTGGAACGTGTTTGCAAAGTACATTCTTTCTCGAACGTGTTCGATGATGCGAGTTTATAGCCGATGATGGTCCATCTCCTTCTGTATTTGTAATAAGCATCATAAAATAAATATTATAATTTCTTATCTAAAAACTTTAAATATTTTTTTTATTATCCACTAATATTTGTTACATTGATGTACATGGTTCAATGAATAAATAAGAAATAATATTACTTATATTATTTTGACATAGATGTCAAAATTATTAGCACATTTTATATTTTTTAAGAATTAAATATAAAAGTAATTACATTTATAACAATTAATATTATACCATAAATATTTTGATTAGGAACACCAATTAATATTTAATTTATTACACATAAATACTCACTTATCAAGTCTTGATCATTTTACAAAGTTATAAATGAAAATGATAATTTTTGTTACATGTAAATTTTTACAAAGCTATACATGGAAAACAATAATTTTAAAATAGAAAATACTAATTTTAAAATGGAACATGCTTTTTATTTGATTTAGAATTTTTTATATATAAGGAATAAAATTAATGCTCTATTAAATAAGCGTGCCCATAAAAATTCATTTCCTTTTATATATTTGTTTCTTATTTTTAAATAATTAGAAAATCTCTCCAATTCGTATTAATTCAAAGCAAAAAAATCAAATGTAATTTCGTTTAGTCCTACCAATCTATCCGTTCTTAAAGTAAATTTATTTGTTTTGATTATAGTTTTTGAATAGGTGTTTTTTTTTAAATTTCAAAATATACTATTTAATTTAAATATTTTTCAATTATGAATGAAAATATAAAAGTTTTTAAACACGATTATATGGAGAAATTTGTTTGTAACAAATATGAAATTTAATTTCCGCATAATAAGTTTTTTTGTTAACTATTTTTTAAACATTACTTGCTAACATGACATGCTGATATGTTAAAAAAGTTGTCTAATAAGCACGCCACATGTCACAATTCTAGAAGCCCAACCCGTTTGAAATATTGAGGAAGTCGATTTTGATGACGTGGCTGATGAAGTGTCAAAAAAAGTTCCAGTTAGCACGCAAAATGTCGCAATTCTGAGAGTTCAACTCTCAAATATTATATAATATAAAGGATTTTTTAAACATTACTTGCTAACATGGCATGCTGATATGTTAAAAAAGTTGTCTAATAAGCACGCCACATGTCACAATTCTAGAAGCCCAACCCGTTTGAAATATTGAGGAAATCGATTTTGATGACGTGGCTGATGAAGTGTAAAAATAAAAAATTAAACAAATACTCTGCGACTGAGAAAATAGTTGATAAGATCTGGAAGCTATATATGAATCAAGGGGCGTCGATCGAATTTTAAATGAAAAAAGCTAAGGCATCGACGAGAGATTCTGATTGGATTTGAAAAAGAAAAGAACGATGCGATTGATGGAAGGCATACACGATGGAAACACAAAAAATATAGTTAGAATTATAATTTATGTTGAGATATTTAATAATTGGTTTATATATTTTAAGTAAATACTTAATATCAAGTTGATAAAATATACGATAAAGTAGAAATCACCGCACTGGACCATAAAATATTTGGACTGGAGCGCAACACAACACAGATCAAAACCAATACAACAACAACAACAACAACCCAGTTAAATCCCACAAGAGATCCCAGACCCCTCCCACACACATGCGTCTGGAACGGGGATGAACTTTCATCTCTCCGACAAAGGTTTCTCTGGGGGCCGAGTTGCAGCTTTCAACGTAACGAACTGATTGACGATGAAGTAATTAATTTCTTCGCGTCTATCAAATCTCTAGGTAAAACTAAATTTCCATCACACCCCAAAGCCAAAAAATGGTGAAAACCAATGAGTCATCAAATTCAATTTATAGAAGATCAATCAAGTGAAATGAACAATAGCCTATTGGGTATGGATTATATCTGGACAACTTGACTGAAGACATTATGAACCACTCTGAAAAAGTGTCTAGACGAACACCTTGATAAATGATGTTGGCCAAAAAATTCTAGAACACCATGATAAACTTTAAGATGAGTAGAGATCACTTGGAGTAGTCCATAAAACATTTGGGGATGAATCATATTAGAAACTTGAATTCAATCAATTACCTAATTCAACTCAACATATGATGTGGGACTCCTATAGAAGTGTTGTTTAGAGAATGTAATTTATACGTAATATATTTTAAGTAAATACTCTTTGCATCGTTAAGTGTTTATCTAATTTTGAACTTCCGATATGGGATGCACTTTAACACTCCCCCTCAAGTGGACAACCGGCCCATTTTGAATCTAACCGGTTGACCACTCGCAAATGAACTCTCATTCCCTTGATTATATTTTTTAGTGCCAACACCTTAAGGATCACGAGTCGCTGAGTGTGGACTTCCAAATGAGTAATCGTGCTAAACGGACCACAGACTGTTGGGTGCATATACTCCATATACAGACAGCTGGGCTAAAGACTAATGGGCCACTAAGAATGAACGTCTAGACGGACACCTTGACAAACAAGGTGAGCTAAAACTTACTCTGATACCATGATAGAATTTAAGATGGGGTAGGAATCACTAGATCAGGTAATAAGAAACTTGGGCTGAATCACATTAAAAGATTGAATTTAATCAATTAGTAAGTTCAATTCAAGAGCTTATATACCGATTATTTTATTATTGAACATCCGATGTAGGATGCTCTTTAACATTTTGTGAGATAAGAAAAAAAGAGAATGAATTTTTGGAAGCGAGAGAATATATAATAAGTATTTAATTTTTACAGTTATAAAAGAGTTTTTGGTTGAAAATGAAAGTTTTTTTGTACGAACAAAAAGTGATGTGATGATCTTTTGGGAACATGCCTTTAAACATATACAACTTGTAGGTGAATAAAAAAACGTAGAACGCCCATCCAAGACACTTCAACACTCAAGTCCCACAGAAGTGTGAGGTGTTAAATTATGGTATAATCATATTAGTCTGGTTTTATGAAGGTTATCTTGTGTCCAGTGTATACAAAAAGTTATTACAAAGAATAAGATTCTCACACTGTCGTGGCCAAAATTCAATCCTAGGATCTTTGAGCTTGACATCCTTCCGATCCCTTGAACCAACTAAGTTACCCATCTTTGGGCTTGATATCCTCCCCTTGGTATCTCTCACACTTCTAGGTAGAGGTGAGCAAGGACCAAACTAATCCCGATATTTCCCGAAAAATCAAAAAAACTGAATTGAAAAATATCAAATTGATAATGTACCACAAAAATAACCAAATCATACCGAACCGAATGGTCGGTCGGGCATTTGAGAACGGTACGAGGTCACTTCCCATATCGAAATTTCCAAACCGAACATGTATACAATATGTATAAAAGTAATAAATTTTTTATGTTTCTTCATTAAATAAAAAATTTATATAGATAATTTAGTTTAATTTTATTATATGTAAGCTGTACTTTAATAAGAGTTTTTTATTTTTTGTAGATGAGCATAAGAATGTTAACAAATATTTGAAATAATACTTTGTTATCACTCGTTTTCTTTAGTTTGTGAAATATAAACTAACTTTTATAAGCATTTCTGGCACTTTATTTTTCATTTTTAAATGTTTTATCTTTCTTTTGTTAAATGTACTTTTGATTTTTCAAAAATAAAAAGTTTTGTTACATTTTAATTTATAGTGTAAACTACTAAACTAGAACGTATATATTAATCTCAATTCGTACCAAAATCGATACCGAACCATTCCGAACTATACCAATATGTAAATAAAATAAATTGGAAAAACTTAATATTTTAATTCGTGAATACAAGTGTGACAAATATTTAAGGACGTAAGGAGTAAATATATAGTAGGGTGTACCTACTTGCTCGGTGAAAGCAGTGTGTGGGAGGGGTGACTTGGAAACACCTCAAAAGGCTTTTGTAGGTGCATAGATTTGGTTCGAACACAAACATGCCGCCGTTGAAGTAAAAAGACGGCCTGGCCCCAGCAAGGTTTCCGGCCACGGCGGCTTGTGCTCCTCACACAGGCAATCCGTCACCAATTTTGGTGTTACTTTCTAATTTTATTTACTTTATAGTAGGGTATAAGACAGAATTAATGAGTAAATTAATAATGAATACTCCTATATATTACTCCTATAAATTTAAGAGAATGATATTTTTGTATTAACTTCCAAAAATATTCTTGATGTGTTGAAAAAAAGTAGGATGTGATAGGTAGATTATTAGTAAAAAGGTATGATATGATATGTAGGTTAAGAATTAATAAGATAAAAGTAGTTTTTAATACAAAAGAGAAAGACTTTGTGCGACAAGAAAAAATGGAGAATGAGTTTTTGGGAGAGAGAGTATGTAATAGGTAGGTTTTTAGTTAGTAGAGGTATAAAAGAGATTTTGGTTGAAAATGGAAGTTCTTTTTTTATACTAAAAAAAGTGAAGATGTGATGGTTTTTTGGGAACATGTCTTTAAACACAAAACTTCCTCGTGAATAAAAAAAGGTGGAACACCCACCCTAGAGACATATACATTCCAGACCGACAGAATTGTGAGACGTTAAATCATGATATAACTTAGTATGGTGTTTATAAAGGTCATCTCGTGTCCAGTGTACAAGAAGTTATTGCAAATAATATAACTCTCACGTTGCAGCAGCCGGATTAGATCTTAAGATCTTTGAGTTTGATATCCTTCCAATCCCTTGGACCAACTAAGCTACGACCCATCTTTGCACTTGACATCCTCCCTTAACATCCTCCCACACTTCTAGGTAGGGCTGTTCATTCGGATCGATCCGATCCGATCCAAAAATTCGGATATCCAAAAATTTCGGATCATGTAAAACTCATTCCATATCTGATCCGAAAATATTCGGATATCCGAATTTTCGGATCGGATCACTGGATTATATGAAAACTTGACTTTTTAGCTAAAATTTACAAAAAAAAGGTAAAATAGCAAAATCAACCCACAATATCAAATTCAATATAGATTTATTAAAAGAAAAATTTCACCACAAGATAATGGTCTAATGAAAAATTGATACTAAATTCAATTTGGGAGTAACTTTGGTAATTTTGCCTAAACAAACAAAAAAATTACTATTAAAACAAAAAGTTTTAAAATGCTAATGCAAAAAGTCCAAAATGCTTGATTTCCAAAATCAACATAAAATTGCATTAAACATATACCCATAATATATATTCATAAAATTTCATTAAACATATAAGCAAAAAAAATCGGATATCCGATTATCCGAAAAATTCCAGAAATTCAATCCATATCCGATACGATTTTTTTCGGATATCCGATCCGAAATATCCGAAAGCCAAAATATCGGATCGAATATCCGTTTTTCGGATCAGATATGCCCGGATCATGGACGGATTTTTCGAATCGGATATTTTTGAACACACCCCTACTTTTAGGTGAATAAAGTTTTGATAATTGATGGCCTTCAAAAGTTTTACTCCATACACTAAAACGTAAAGAAAAATTTCCTCCCTAAAAGGTAGTAAGTTTCCTTGAATAGGACAAAATATATTTTATTTCATTTATGGCACATAATTCCATATGATCTGCCATATATGCATTTATTAGCAACAAGTGTTGGATAATGACTGATTATACGAATGACTCTAAGAATGTGATCATTAATTAGCAATAAGAGTTGGATAATGATCGATTATTTCAATGACCGACTATTATATTCAAACTATTTTTAATAATGTCTTATTCTACTTAAATTATCTAATAGGTCATTTTTTTCAAAGACATGGCATATCATTTTAGAACTTTCCATTGCCAAACATTCAATTAGCCCAACGTAAATATGACTAGTTTTGTAGATATGACTAGTCATTTGCATAAATTAGCCCAACGGAGTATATAGTAGTAAGGTGTACCTACCTGCTCGGCGAAAGCAGTGGGAGGGGTGACTTGGAAACACTTCAAGAGGCTTTTGTAGGTGCAGAGATTTGGTTGGAACACAAACATGCCGCCGTTGAAGTAAAAAGACGGCCTGGGCCCCAACAAGGTCTCCGGCCACGGGAGCGTCTCCGGGCACGGCGGCCCGTGCTCCTCGCACACGCAATCCGCCACCGCGTAGAGATACCCGTTCGGCAGATCGAACAAGTGGTCTATGTTTTGGAAGACTTGCATGTCCGCATCCAAGTATATCATTTTGCTATACTCCACAAACTACCAAAATACAAAAATTAAATCCTTAAATTAAACTCTTATTTTAAAAAAATTTAAATTATTACGGAGTAAATACGTACGCTTATTAGTTAAACGGTTAAACCACGCACGTACTATATAGTCCATAAATAAACTCAGAAATATTTTATTCTTGTCTTTTTTTAAATTAAATCCTATCATTAAAGTTTTATTAATTATAACTAAATTGTACTCCTTCCGTCCTGCAAAAGAGTTCTCCTTTCTTTTTTTCATCCGTCCCAAAAAACATTTCTCATTTCCTTTTAAAAAGTCACTTTTACTCATACTAATTCTCAGCCTACCTACCACATCACACTTTTTCTCTATTTATTTATTCATCTCATCCTACTTTATCCATCACATCAAAGGGTATTTTTGGAAAGTCAACACCAAAATATACCCCTTAAATCCTCAAAAATTCAAAACGGAAAATTTTTTAAGGGACGGAGGGAGTATGTTAAAAGGAACATAATTATATTAAATTTGTTCTGTAACTATATAACAAATACTCCATCCGTTCCTTAAAATTCTCTCTTTCATTTTTTTCCAATTTCTAAACACTTTCTTTTTATATTAAAAAGCTCTTTTACTCATATTTTTTCATACCCTACCTATTATATCATACTTTTTCACTAATAACTAAACTATCACATCTTACTCTTACACATCACATCAGAAGTATAATTAGAAAATCAACCAAAATTACATTTTTTCTTAATTTGGTTAAAAGTAAAAATAGGAACGTAACCTACCTTTTAAGAAAAGGGAGGGAGTATAATTTTTTCATAAACTATGATCAGACTTTCGTATTTTAATTGAAAAAGTCAAATTGTAACTCTATTTCTAGAGAGAGGTGAGTAGATTATCTAACATCATTAAGCGCCATTTAATTAAGCAAGCAATTAAAACCTGCCAAAACTGGAGCTTAGAGTAGTTCACAACATAGTAATCCCGAGCAAACGGAGACTCGTCCTGTGAAGGATACAACGGCTCGATTTCGCGGACGACGCAGCCCTGCGCCACCAGCAAGCGGCGGTGCTCCTCCGGGACATCCGGCCAAACTGCCGCCACCACCGGATATGCGGCCCCCACCTTCCTCAACCCCTTCACCAACCCAACCACCCCTTTCACGTAGTCCCCGTCTCCCGCCAGGAACGTCACGTACGCCCTCCCCGCCGCTGCCGCCGGCCGAGCCGCCGCCACGCCACCGCTGCTTGCGTCAGGTGCCATTCTTGTGACGAAAGATTGGAATTGGGATATGGATAATAATGGGAGTACGTGACATGCATGCTACATTTTGTAGGGTCGTCGAGTGGCCAACGATACGACGTCGTCAGGGTATAAGATTTGGAGGCGACTCACCGAACGGCCCGGGAAAAGGTCGCTCCGGTGCTGCCACGTTTCAAACTGGATAAGAGTTAATAAGACAGGTTTCAGTGACGTGGCGCCTTTGCGGTGATTGACACGTGGATGAATGCCAGCAATGCTTGCTTTTAATTTCGTGAGTTATACGACGGTTTCATCTGGAACTCGGTTGTGAAGGTATAGAAATTAGAAATTATATCCACCTTTTTTGGATGTGCGGAAAAAGATTATTACTCCCTCCCTTCCATAAACCTCCCCCTTTGGTTTTTCATACACTACCTATCACATCTTACTTTTTCACTAATAACTAAACTATCACGTCTTACTTTTACCCATCACATCAGAGACAAAATTGGAAAGTCAATTAAAATTACACCTTCCTTTTTTGGCCCAAAGTCAAAATAGGAAGTGTTTAAAGAAACGGAGGGAGTATTTCATAAATCTTTTTCAGATATTATTTATAGTATCAAGTTTAACTTATTTTTTTAGTTTTACCACTCAATTAATAAAATAATACTCCCTCTATCCCTTAAACTCTTTCTCCTTTCTTTTTTTTTCTTGTCCCACAAACTACTTCCGGTATCTATTAAAAAATCACTTTTACCCCAACGTACTAATTCTTATCATATCTATCACATCATACTTTTTTACTAATAATTTATCCATCACATCTTACTTTTACCTATCATATCAGGGACATTTTTGGAAAGTCAACACAAAAATATTCCTTCTTTATTTTCCAATAAAGTCAATAAGGGAAACCCTTTCAGGGACGAAGGAAATATTATCCCACATCTTGTTTTGTATTCTCTCCGTTTGAAAAAACATTTTCTATTTTGATCAATGGTCAAATTAAGAAAAAATGAAAGAAGAATTTTTTTGGTGAAAGAAGTAGAATTTTTCATGTAATCTTTTACTACTCCGTATATAATTTTATTTTTAAATTTTATATTTACAATCAAATAATTGAACTAAAAAATAAAATCAGATCAAATCTCGTAGCATAATTAAATAATTTATTAAAAATGAAGTAAATTAGCTGAGGGTCTCAACAAAAAGTGAATATTTTTATTTGTTTGGTTTGGAGAGAAAATTAGGTGAGGGTCTCAACAAAGAGAAGTTTTCCACCCAAGCTTGGTAAGAAAACCGGGCAAACCTTCTAGACACTTCTTTTGACCACTAATTTTTACAAAAATGCTTAGGATCCAATATTTTGGGACACCGAGTACAGACCAAGACAAATTCAGACATTCATTATGATCTATATATGCACGTATAGATATTGAATGTCTATACGTAGCTCCACCCAATTTCTCTATTAGCACCATCCATTTTCATTATTTTTTCTTAGCACACCATCCAATTTCCAGCTTAAAATTTCATTATCTTTTCTACCTATGCCATTTTCCTTTTTTATTTTCTATCAATTCAAATAACAATTATTCATTTTCCATCCTCCCATTTTATCTCATTTTCTATCTCTCCTCATCAAAACAAAGTGTACGAGTATTTAATCCTGTTTTAAACACTCTTTTAGGCCATCTCCAATGGGATGCCCAGAGGAGATGCTCAAAGGAGAGAGAAGAGGATGTTTATATATGCTACTATTGGAGATAGATGTTTAGAGTAGATGTTCAAAGAGGAAAAAAAGTAAGAGATTCTCAAGAGAGCACCGGGTGCTAGCATTCAAAATCATGTGTGCATTATTTCTTTTTCTTTTTTTTGTAAAATAGGTCTTTTTTAATAATATATTCTCTTTTCAATATTTTTTTCTTTTTATTTCTTTAACGTGTAGTGATGCTACAATTCTATACCATTATTGTGTCTCTTTTTTTGAAAAGTATCTTTACAATTTTTTTAAACAAACCATTTTCGCAAGTTTTTTTTCTTTTCATTTTTTAACTTGTAGTGATACCATGAAAAATCTGTTTGATGTTTTGTTTCATTTAATTGAGTTTGATCTACACAAAAAATTGAATAAATCAATAAATACTCTATAAAAATATGACACCCTATTTTGTTTTTAGTAATACCAACATGTCATTAATTTTTTTAATCAAAATATTTAGCAAAAAAAGTCATTAACAATATTTTTAATTATTTATATTATTTTTTCGAAAAAAATCAGTTTAATTTATAATTTATTACTCCATATTTAACACTCCTATATATAATATAAAAATTTAAAATTAAAAAAATAATAAAAATTATTTCTGTATGTGAGTAGGATTTGCCTAAGGCATCTCAATGAGGTGTCACCATTAAAACATTTAGATGTTCAAAGAGATGCCGCAAATTGGGGAGGGTCGGGTTAGAGCGATATGGATTTTTAGGCGTTTCGGTACTAGTTTTTTTTAAATATTTGAATCTTGACAATTTTTATATCTATATTGAAAAATATAAAAATTGTGATACTTTTTTTGTGTTATATCATTATTTAAATTTGTGTTATATCATTATTTAAATAAATATATACATACATATGGGAAAGTTGAATGAAACGGGAAAATATTTATGTATCTGGATCATGTCTCATTTTAAAATGGTTCGGATCGAATTTGAGAAAGAAATTTCATCACTAATAAAACGGGACATGATAGAGACGGGATCATGATAGTTCGAGTCGGGACACCCATTTCGGGATTCGTATCCATCCCTACGAGGCTTACCTTTATGGTTGTGATCTCAAAGACCTATCTAGAAAGTAAATAGTGCTCCCCGTTTCTTTTGAATCTTTTTATCTGATTTTTTACAATTTTAAATGCAACACTTTGATTATCATATTTTTAAAGTGAAATTTGCACTAAATAGGACTAAAACATAATGAATTTCCCAATATAGAACTTAAACTTTTTTATTTCCTAAATAGGACTTAATAATGACCTAGTAGGAGGAATAATGTCCAGTAATGATGGACATTTACTTGAATAATGACTACTTTATAATGACCAAAGGTCCTACATTGGGAAATAAAAACATATAGTCCTATATTGGGAAAGTCATTATGTTTTAGTCCTATTTAAGTAAATTTCTCATCTTTAAATCATTTTTGTCTCCACTTCCGATGTGGGATGAAGTTTACACCTCAAGAGTGTGTTCTCTAATCGGTTGGATCTGCATCATTCCTAGATTGGTCCTATGTCCCTTTAATTTTCACGTGGGCTAACTTGGCCTAGACCGGCAGGGCCTGTCATCTTAGGTCTAGCTAATCTCATATAAATGGATTGGGCCCATCTATTGGGCCAATCCCAGTCCAGCTACCAATCATGAGCCCTCCAATTTCTTGATTTGCTTTCATTAAAAGAGACAACAACGTAAATGTTACTTCAAATTAAATTGTTGGTAAATATTTTGACAAATAGAACCACTTATTTATTATTTCATCTATTCTATATTAACAGTTTGTTATTATTCCAAAAAAAAAAAACAGTTTGTTATGACTCTTATAATATGCTGAAAAATAAACAAATTGATGGTAGATATATTTTATGCTTACATTTAATCAATCTTCAATATATTATAAAAGTGGTAATAGATGGTGAGCTTATATCGAATGAAAGGATTAATAATTTTACAAAGTAGAAGCTTCTATTTTTGAGAAGATATTATTTTTACTTTGGCATTTAGAGTTGTACACATTCGTCCTAAAATCAACTTTTCAGTATGACTTTCGTGATCAAGTTCTTTAAACTTTGACGGCATATTAAAGAAAAATACAATGTAAATTTGTTATCAATAAATTAATTTTCAAACATAGTTTTGAAATATATTATTTTTATAATATATATTTATATAAAAATAGAGATATTAATAGTCAAAATGTTGCATTGAAGACTCTCAATACAAAAACTTCCAACTAGCACCATTTCTAAAGGGTGACAACAAAAATGGCATAACAGTATAACACTATTGGATGAGATCAGCAAAGCTTGTGCAAATTAATTGACATTTCAAATATATTTTTTATCATTTACTACAATATTTGAGACTTTTCACAAAAATTTGACATATGGCGAATCCATTTGGTATTTTTTTAACATGTCATCGACACCTATTTATTATTTTAATGAGTTAGTAAATTGATGCCACATAGGAGAAGTTAGGCCCCGTTCCGTTTAATTTATTTTTTCTTATTTTTTATTCTTATTAAAATAAAATCAGATTAGATCAGACCAGATCAGATCAGATCAGATCGAATCAGATCAGATCCCATCAAGAATTATTGTTATTATTATTATTATTACTATTATTATTATTCTTGTTATTATTATTATTATTATTCTTAAAAATGAAAAATAATAAACTTTAGAAACAAGTTAAATAGAAAACTGAAGAAAGTGATACTTAATTATTAGATGTCGGAAAAATTATTTTTAAAATACATTGACAATGTCAATCTAATTATACTTTTAAAATACATTTTTATTGATACCTATAATTTGAGTTTCTAAATTTTTGATCTTTTATAAGAATGAAATATTTTAATAAAAATATTATCTTTTCTATATATTGATTATCTAAATTTAATTACTTTTTAATGTATATATAAATTGAATATTTATTCTAATATATATATGAAGTAATTATTAAAATATTAAATTAATATTCTAATTTCAAAAAAAATAATCATAAAATAAAAAATATTATTAACTAATTTTAACTAATTTTATTTTATTAAAAAATATTGGTTATATTATAATATGAAGTATCATTACAATTGTCAAACGTTATTATAAAGTCAAATCAAATTATTGATTTGAATTTTAAATCAAATCATAATTAATCAAATCAGATCAGATCAGATCAGATCAAATCCAATCGGATCAGACCAGATCAATCCAATCAGATCAGATCATGCTAGATCAAATCAGAACTACAAAAAATGAGATCAGATCAATAAAAATAAGTTGAACGGAAAAGAGCCGTAATAGTTTTAATCAAATAGGGAATATATACGGAGCACTAATGTGGTTTGGGTGTATAAATTATCGTAATTACAATCCATCAAACCCGTCCGGGTGGTATCTCGCTGCTGTTTGGGCGGTATCAAAGTACCATTTCTGCGGGAGTTTTGTACAGTGACGTCTTCAACCTCGGTCCAAACTTCAAAAACACCATTTTAATCTTCTCAACTTCATTTTAACTTTATAAAAATGTTTTCTAACATCCATAGACCATTTTAAAACAATTTATTTGAAGCTTTAACAACAAAATCAATTTTGAAGCGTATTACGAAAAAAATACATTGAACATTCATATAAATTTGATATCAATAAAAATTCATTTTGAAAGAGAATTTAGATAAATTTTATTTTTATAATATTTATTTATATATATATATATATATATAAATATTAATAGTTCATATGTTGTATTGAAAAGCGTGAAAAACTAAATGGAAAATTAATTTTAGAACATAGGGAGTAATTTTTACTACTCCCTCCGTCCTCCAGTTTTTATCCACTTTTGACTTTTGGAACTGTTCATCTAAGCACTTTGACTCATCAAATTCTCTCAATGTGTAAGCCTAAATATAGTCATGCGTGATCTTGTTTGATTTGTCTTAACATATAGATTATTAATATATAATTTATATAATTTTTTAATATACAAATTATAAGATAAAATGGATTAAAGAAGTTTATTAGATGGTGTGTAAAAATGAAAGTGGACAAATACTCTGGGACGGAGAGAATACTATATACTCCGTAACTAATTACTTTTGAAAAAAGGAAGCAAAAGCTTTTTTGGGACTTCCAAAAAAGAAAACATTAATTTGGATAGTCTTTAATTTTGGAGTAGTTTGGTGTTCCTTCCTTTAAAACAGGAAGTTTATCCAAATTTCTTCACGGATCCAGTAATCCGTACAATCTTCTCCACCAAGTTTTCCATTCATGTCTTTCTTCCCGCAAATACACTTCTTCAACATTTCCCACTAAATTCATACGCGCACCGGCGCATATATATACGGATTGTATACGCTATACCCCAATCTTAAATTGTCAATCCCACCAATCTATATGGATCTTTCTTCAAACCACAATTCAAATCCGCTCATTCAACGCACATATATCTTTCCCTAAATTTATTCTTCATAAAATTCGTAGATTTCTGCTTCATTTCTTCGTTTACGCGATTTATTTTTCCTGTTTCCGATTTGGGTATTGCGTTTTTTTTCGTTTGCGATGAAATTCGTGGCTGCCAAGCCGTGCTGTCGGTTTTTGATCCATCGGAGTAGCACGGCGGCCATGTTGGGGTTTTCGTCGAGTTCCGGGGCGTTTCGCCGCCCCAGCCCGCCACCTCTGTTGGGGTTTGGAAGCATATCTCGTTGGAACCATAAGCAGACATTGGGTCTGCCCGGTTTGAATTGGGGGAAATCGAGGGATCTATTGAGGCCTTGTGATATTAGGGGTTTCCATTTGGTTGCCGGTGTTGCTTCTAATATTAGGGAATTCTCCTCCTCTGTGGAGACCAGGGTGAACGACAAGAATTTCGAACGAGTCTATGTTCAGGAAGGTCTCAATGTGAGGCCTGTGGTGGTGGAGAAGACGGACCAGGACAAAGATGCTTCTGCAATTAGGGAGGGGATTGAAAAAAGTGAGCAGTCCGATGGATCGAAAGCTGCCCCTGAAATTGCCACCGCGAATAAACTGAGCGAGGATTCCGAGGTTGAAAAGGAGGCATGGAAATTGCTCGAAAACGCGGTTGTTAGGTATTGTGGGAGCCCGGTAGGGACATTGGCTGCGAATGATCCGAATGATAAGCTGCCCCTTAATTATGATCAAGTCTTCATTAGGGACTTTGTTCCATCTGCCCTTGCTTTTTTGCTGAAAGGGGATACTGATATTGTGAAACATTTTCTTCTTCATACCCTGCAACTGCAGGTAATCTCCTGCTTTTCCATTCCATGTAATTGAAAATTCTTTCCTGTTATCCTGTCATGTGCGCATATTATGATTCTATGCCAATTCATTGTATACCATGGACTATGGAGTAGTAGTAGATAATGAAATTAGGGGTTGAGAATAGCTTTAGATGCAGTTTGTAAGAAGGTTAGGAATGACTCGTGAATCCATCAGTGTAGTACGGCAGTAGGTAGGGAGTATATATATAATGCATTGTGATGTACCATGATATTCATACATCTAACATATAAAAATTAGCATTTTTTGAAAGGAAAATGAGCAATTATAATATTGAAATGAGCATTCTTTAGGAAGAAAATATGCAGAATAAAAGGAAAAAACATAAACACATGAAGAAAAGCATACAACAACCTAGGCGAATCCCACAAAAGTAGGGTCTGGAAGTGTGTGTGTACTCTGAAAGTAGAGATGTTATTTCCAAGAGACCACCGACTCGCCCAACAAGAAGGAAAACATAAATGAGCATTTCTTAGATGAATACTCTGCAGATCTTTAAAAATTACAAATATGCTACACGATGTACAATATAACTTGCAACTACAAGAGGAGTAATCAAACTTAATGAGGACATGGATTCTGCTGAACTTGATTGAATTGATGTTTTTTTTATAAAAAAAACTCTACAAATCATGTTAAAACCTGCTTCCTTATCATAAGGTTAATAAGAATTAATAGCACCTGAAGATGTTTAATCTAAAAAATAATGTTTTGACCAAATAGCCCTCACTTACATGATATGGTTGGCTAGTTTTTATAATCACAGAGTTTTTATGCTGAATGGCTATTTTTTTAATGTTATAAACTCGTAGATGTAACAGAAACAGACTCACTGTTAATTTTGTTTTTAAATACAGAATATGTAGCCAGAAAAGTAATCTCAAAAGTCAAAGTATATAGATGAGTTCTTGCACAATTAATTTTCAAATTATATAGTTGTATGAACTTGTTTTTCTAGAGCTGGGAGAAGACAGTTGACTGTTACAGTCCAGGACAAGGGTTGATGCCCGCAAGCTTTAAAGTGAGAACAGTGGCTATTGATGAAAACAAGTTCGAAGAAGTTCTTGACCCTGATTTTGGGGAATCAGCAATTGGCCGTGTTGCCCCTGTAGACTCAGGTGAAAACCTTGTTTGATTTTCTTTGGTTTCCGTAATTCTTAAAATTAATGAGATGGAATCTATTACATCCTGTTTGTTATGCAGGAAGTCTATTTGTTTTTGCAATCCTGCGTAATTCCCATTTGGATGTATTAGGAAGTTTGTTAGACAGGTAGAAGCATTCCAAATGAACTCATATTCCTTCAAATCAAGGAATAAAACTTCATATCTTCCCACAAGTGTTGTCTTTTTTTTTTCCATTTGGGAAGAAGAAATGTGAACTGACTAAAATACATTCCAATTACCTTAAAAATCTGTATTCTTTCTTTTATCTCAGACTTACCAAACATTTGAATCAATATATAGATTTCCACTTTCTGCCAAACCATTTTTATCTTTTACAGCCAAGTAAAATAGGTTGTGTATGTTCTGTTATGGGAGAATAGTGTGACAGAATAAAAAATGTGTTTGAGAGAAACTGCCAAGTTAAAGAAACTTCTAGTTTCATTGCAGCCAGATAAAAAATGAATTCTGAAATGAAGTTCAATTTGTAACTTTTATAGGCTTGTGGTGGATTATCCTGTTGAGAGCATACGGGAAGATCACCGGTGACTTTGCTTTGCAAGAAAGAGTTGATGTACAGACTGGCATTAAACTAATACTGAATTTGTGTTTGTCCGATGGCTTTGATATGTTTCCTTCTTTGCTAGTAACTGATGGATCTTGCATGATAGATCGACGGATGGGGATTCACGGTCATCCACTTGAGATTCAAGTAAGTAGAAGTTACTAATCTGTACTAAGATTATCCTATTTGGAATCACATTTGATTTGACTATTTTAGTGCTGTTGCATTTTCAAACTTGTATTTAAATTGTTACAAGACATTTCTTGCCATCTCATTTGCTTAAGGTTATGTTTGGATATCCGAAAAAATATGGAAATGAACAAAAGTGCCATGGGAAGTTATTTTCTTACATTTCATTTTACCTAAGAAAGACAAGGGAAAATGAAATATGATTAATGTAATAAATAAAATTAGCTTTAATATAGCTAAAATAAATATTTTGATTTTGAGCTTAGCATTTATTTTTCTCCCAATTTTTCTTTCCTTGCAATGTTCGTTTCTATTTTCCCCTTAATATTTTCTTGGTTTCAACTTCCAAGCCAACGACCTTAAAAGATCTTCCTTTTTTGGGGAAAAATAAAAACTCCAAGGCTTAAATTTGGGATATCTTTTGGAGCAGTTAGGGTTATGTGCATCCCTTCATCCTCTCTAAGTTTATATTTTTATCCTTCTCAAAGAATAACACTTTTGTAGTACAGGCCCTATTTTATTCTGCTCTTAGATGTGCACGCGAGATGCTTGCTTCAGATGAAGGGTCCAAGAATTTGGTGAGGACTGTTAACAACAGGCTCAGTGCTTTATCATTTCACATTAGAGAATACTACTGGGTTGATATGAACAAGATAAATGAAATATACCGATACAAGACAGAAGAGTATTCCACAGATGCCACTAACAAGTTCAATATCTACCCTGAACAAATCCCTCATTGGTTGATGGACTGGATTCCCGAGGAAGGTGGTTATCTCATTGGGAATTTACAGCCAGCTCATATGGACTTTAGGTTCTTCACACTAGGAAACCTATGGTCTATTGTCTCGTCTCTTGGCACCCCAAAACAAAATGAGGCTATCTTAAACTTGATTGATGCTAAATGGGATGATCTTGCTGGTCAAATGCCGCTTAAGATATGTTATCCTGCTTTGGAGTCTGAAGAGTGGCGTATAATCACAGGGTGTGATCCAAAGAATACGTAAGTTTTCCCATAAACTTTTGGGTAATGTTTGGATGCCGGTAAATGTGAGGGAAATGAAGAGAGAAAAAATGCTTTTACTTGGAAAATTCAAAATAAGACTAGCTATGGTTAGTTTTTAAAAGTTTACATATATGTAGTTTTTTAGTCATTGTATATACATAAAATAAACAAATTGAGTAAGAGCAAATATCTAAAACAAAACTATTGAGTTTTCCTCTACATTTTCTTGCAAATTTTCTTTGATGTTTTCCTTCCTATTCCATTGTTCCACTTCCTAGTATTTTCTAGTTTCTAAACGGCCCATAATGTTCTGTGCTTTCTAGCCTGAGCTTGAATATAGTTCTTATTTACAAAGGGCTTAATATCTTTTGGCATTGCAGGCCTTGGTCATATCATAATGGGGGATCTTGGCCCACACTCCTGTGGCAGGTAATTAAGCAAGCTTTCTTGAAGTTTGCATTCATCTTCCCCTCATTTAGAAACAAGTCGAAATCTAGCCAGGAGTTTTGTTTCTATTCATTCATTAACTCAATAAGATTCCAAATTTTAATTGTATGTATGTCCAGAAAAGACTTGCAAAATGCAATGCTCCACTCACATTGCTCTTGTTTCTTTCTTTCTTTCTTTCTTTCTTTCTTTCTTTCAGTTCACACTGGCATGCCTAAAGATGGGCAGAACAGATTTGGCTAGCCGGGCTGTTGAGATGGCCGAGAAAAGGCTCCCCCTTGACCACTGGCCCGAATATTACGACACAAAAAGTGGAAAGTTCATAGGGAAACAAGCCCGGCTCTACCAGACCTGGACAATAGCTGGTTTTCTGACCTCCAAGCTGCTCCTGCAAAAACCAGAAATGGCTTCCTTCTTGTCCTGGGAGGAAGACTACGAGCTTCTTGAGATATGCGTCTGCGCACTGAACAACAAATCAAGCCGCAGAAAGTGTTCCCGTGGCGCTGCCAAATCTCAGATCCTCGTCTAGCTTCTCTCACACACTTCTGACCGCACAGATGCTAGTTAGGGTATGCTCCCTTCATTTACATCTGACTGATCATTATGACTTTTGCAATACATAAAAAGTGAAATGAATGTGGACTTGATATATGTTCATATTCGTTCGACTTTTGATGTATCACAAAAATCGTGATGGTGAATGGAGGGAGTATAAGATAGAAGAAACGTTCGGAGGGAATTTTCGACCTCCGGACGAAGAAAGAAAATGATTCTTTTACAATGGGGCGAGTATTTGTAAAGCCTCAAAGTGAATACAATATAGTGTAGGTGAAATGGCTTAGGAAGTTTCACAAGGTATAGACAAAAACCATACACACTGTACTATTATTATGTACTAGGATTTCATGTAGTGATTACACACAATAAACTGCAAATATTGTGCATTGTAAGGATTTATAGTGATGTGTGTTTTATACTTTGTTTAATGCAGAGGAAATATAGCAGAAACTTGATAGAAAATAATATTTTGAGGAAACATTAACTTGGGGGTGCAATTGAAGGGGGTGGGGGTGTGTTCGGGCCAGGGTTATCGGGGGGGTTAGGGGAGTAGGAACCGTCAGTTTTACGAATGGGACACCAGAGTGTGCCTGAATCATCCCATGATATTGCCGGGTAATATGATGGGAACTGACCGTAACATATGTTCATAATCTTCTATTCATTATAGGACTAGGGAGAGAAAAAATAAACTTAAGATGAATAAAAATGTAATTTATTTAGTAATTAAACATAAAAACCGGGGAGTACGCATTTCTGAAACATGACTTTTCTTAATGAGATGAAGAGATATTTATAGGTTTTGAACATAGGAGGAAATATTCCCATTAATTATTATTTGAGTCCTAGTCTATACAACGAGAGAAATGTTATACTCACAAATAAAACATTTGTAAAATTTATAAATATACTATTTGTGTATTTAAATTTCAACTTTTTAATGGGATCATTTTGTATAATAAGTTTGTGAATTTTGTAAATACAGACTATTTTGTTTCTGACTAGCATTTCTCAACAGTTTGCCTTCATCTAAAATATGATCATCAACATTGTCAATAATGTTGTTCCTTTCCACTTATGTCCTTCAAATTTTATCTCAACTTTGGAATGTCTTCTAATTCTAAGAAATAATGTTTGATGTATACTCCCTCTCTCTCTCAAACTAACTTCTAACTCGAACAATATATAAAATCTCATCTTTTTTAAAAATTATTTTTTATATAATAGTTTAAAAATTACAAATAAAAGAGTGGACTTTATTTTGGGACAGAAGAAATAAATTACTAATGATATTCTAACCGTGCAACGCATGAGTATAAATCTAGTATGTTAAAAAATTATACCAAAAGTTTTACAAACAAGTGTTGACAAGGTTACTTTATTTTATCAAATGATCAATGAAAATATGTAAAAAAAAAATAGAATTCGTTTGACCTTTGAATAGTAATTAGGAGTATTTTTTGGACGTACGGAATAATTTTTTTGTTTGAAACATTCAGAGTAATACTTTTATCTTGTTAAAATGAAAATGCATTATAGTTCTTCAATTTTGCCGCATTTCAGCTTTTGAATTTTAAATCAAGGGGGTTATTACAGCGCATATCGATTTTTTTTTAAATTTCGTTTAATGGTAACTCATTTAATTGTTTTGGCTTGGTTTCCATGACATCAAGAATTAATATCATGGGATGACCTGGGGGTGCCTGCGGTGTTCTGTTTGAAAATTGACGGTCCTACCCCTCCTAACTCTCCCGATAAACCCTCCACCTGACCTCGAACCCACCCAACCACCACCTTTAATTTTGTCTCCAAAATCAACTAAATTTTATGGAGTGCAATTGAAGGTGGTGGGGAGGATTCAGAGTAGGGCGGAGGTGGGGGTTTACCAGGAGGGTTGAGATAAGAATCATCAATTTTTTAAACAGAACACTGTAAGTGCCTCATTTAGAGCTGAGTCGTAATATGACATTGGGATTCAATATATGTCACATGAACCCTTCCTTATTCCTTAATTGTTTAGTTAACATTTTAAATTTCACATATTTAATTGAATTGGCAGATAACAATGTACAAAGTCAAAATATATGGTGTCAGTTAAATCGAGATTAAAATTTAAAAAGTAACTCTCATCAATGAGAGCCTCATTTAGAACTGAGTCGTAATATGACATTGGGATTCAATGTTACATGAACCCCTTCTTAATTGTATAGTTAAAATTTAAAATTTCACATACTCCGCATTTAACAAAAGGTGAGTTGGCAACAGTGTAAAAAGTCAAAATATGTGGTGTCAGTTAAATCGAGATTAAAAATAAAAAAAATAATCCCCATTGATTTGACTAATATCTGTATGCCTAGATGAAGATTAAAAATAAAAAATTGATGCCCATTGATTTGACTAATGTCTCTAGATCTAGATGTTGATAAAACAGATGAAATGAGTTTGGAGAGCTTGAAAGACAAATATAAAATTACACATTTCACACTATCTAACAAATTCTTCAAATTCATTTCATCTATTTTTGGAAACAAATAGAAGTCCTAAACCCAATAGCCACGCCTGGTTCCTTGTGCTGGGTATTTATTTAGAAGAGAACATATTGCTGCTTAGTCGATGTGGGAAAGGACTCAATATAATACATATAATACTCAAGCGGAAACGAACAGCCAAACAGATATTCAACATAATAATCACGGTCAAGGTTCCCATGACATTGCCCGACAAGGTTCCCATGACATTGCCCGGCAATGTCATGGGATGACCCGGGAGCGCTTCGATGCCCCGTTTGTAAAATTGATGATTCCTACCCCCTAACCTTCCTGACAAACCCCCAACCCACCCCGACCCGAACACACCCCCCACTCCCTTCAATTGCATCCTACAAGTTGATTTTGACTTTGGAGTCAAATTTTGACTCCAAAGTCAAAATCAACTTGTGGGGTGCAATTAAAGAGGGTGGGGGGGGTTATGTTCGGGTCGGGGCGGGTTGGGGGATTTGCCGGGGGTAGGAACCGTCAATCTTACGAACGGGGCACCGGAGCGCCCCCGGAATTCAATTCCTTCCTTCTCCCTCGCTATATCATCGTACCAATTTGAGTCTTAATTTTCTTTCTTTAAAGCTTGGCCAAGTGCTCAATCGTTTATTTACAATTTTAAGGTATTAAAAAATATTGACTGCTCGAGACAACGTTGATCAAATGTGTTTTTGTAATAGAGATAATACTACTCATTTTTGTCTATTGTTTAGATAAATTTCGCTAAAACAGACTATCTCGATATCGATTCCAATTTTTAGCAGTTTGAACTAATTTGATACTCCCTCAGTTTGAAAAAAAGTGCACCCTTAAAATGACTAATTTTAGTATTATTTTCTAATTTTGTTCTTAGTTTATAATGGAGTAGGATGAGATGTGTAGTCATAATTTAAAAATAATACTAAAGCGACTCATTTTAAAGACAAGCCTTTTTTACACAAGAAGGATTTTATGAGACGGAGGGAGTATTATATATTATAATTATGGTTGTTACCTATTATAGTTAGAGTTATTATTATATAATATTACGTTATATTATTAGCCATTAATGTGAGGATTTAAGAATATATTCCTCCACCTATAAATAGATGTCTTGTGTTCCTTCCTTATTATTCAAGCAATAAAACATTACTTATTATTTTTGCATGGTTTTGGAGGTTTTGCTTTGAGTGATCTTATTTTATATTATCAAATGATCAATGAAAGTGAATAAAAGAAGTACAATTAATTTTTGTTTTAATAATAATTAGGAGCCTTTTTATTTGACGGGTGGAGTAATGTTTTATCTGAAAGGGTAATATTTTTATCTTATTAAAAAAATAAAAATGCATTATAGTTCTTCAATTTGAACGCATTTCAATTTTTAAATTTTAAACTAGGGGGAGGGTGCCGGGGTTATAGCGCATAGCATTTTTTTAAAAACTTTTTTTAGTTGTCAACTCATAACCATTAATTGCTCAGTTAACATTTATTTAAAATGTCACATACTTAACACACAAGTTGAGTTGGCAATGTCTGAATAACGTTGTAAGAAGGTGAAATAGAGATTAAAATATACTCTCTCTCTTCCATAAAATTTTCTCCTTTCATTTTTTTTCAATTTCCTAAAACACTTCCACTTTATATTAAAAAATCACTTTTATCCATACTTTTTCATACTCTTCCTATCACATCATAGTTTTTCACTAATAACTAAACTATTATATCTTATTTTTACCCATCACATCAGGGGGAAAATTGAAAAGTTAACTAAAATTACATTTTTCTTATTTTGGCCCAAAGTCAAAATAGGAAGTGTTTAAAGAACGGAGGGAGTTAAAAAAATAACTCTCATCAATGGGACTGACGTGTGTATGCTACTAAATGGCAATCAAAGGAGACTGGAAGGTTTAGAAAGATAAATACTCCCTCCGTCCCAAAAAGATTTACACCTTTCAAAAAAATTGTGTCCCTTACTTTTTCAAACCCTACCTATCACATCATACCTTTTTCCTAATATTCTACACATCACATCATACTTTTACTCATCACATCAAGGGTATTTTTGGAAAGTCAACACAAAATTATCTCTTCCTTAATTTTTACTTTAGTCAAAATGAGTAACACTTTATGGGAAAGAGGTAGTATAAAATTGCAAGTTTCACACATATTTTACTAACCCTTCCAATCTCCTTCAATTTACTTTTAGGCTCAAATAAACCTAACAGCCAAGCGATGTTCTCTGTGTTGGCCGTTTGTTAAGAAGAGAAGTTGTTGCTTCTAATTAAGGCGATGTGGGAGAGGACGCAAACAGAAACGAAAAGCCAAACAGAGCTAGGTACCACATAATATTCCTTCCTTCCTTCAATTCTCCCTTTTTAATTTCACCGTAACAATGTTTGTTACAAGTGGTAATTAACCACGAGAATTGCTGAGAAGAGGGATCAGAAGAGAGGCAGAAGAAGAAGAAGAAGAAGAGGGAAGAGAATTTGGGTTGAGACTAAACTTCTTTCTTGTTATCATTTCTGAATAATAACATCTATATATTCATAAGAAGAAATCCCAACCATATCGGTTCAAAAAAAATGTCGAGATAAAAAAATAAAGACGAACACTCGTTTGAGCTTATAAACCGCTCACCTAAAAAAAATCTAAAATACGCTAATTGATAAGAATAAATAATACTTCCTTCGTTCTCAAAAATAGTTCCAATTTTGACCATGTGTAAAAATAAGGAAGTGTTAAATTATAGTTGACTCCCAATTTTGCTCTTGATTCGATGAAGAAAAGTAAGATGTGATGGATAGGTTATTAGAGAAAAAGTGTGATGTGATAGGAAGGGTATGAAAAAGTAAGTGTAAAAGTGATTTTTTAATAGAAAGTGAAAGTGTTTTGTTAGAAGTGCAAAAAATGAAAGAGTAAGGGGCTGTTTGGCAATTTCTGAATTGGTAAGTGCTGAACCAGTAAGAGGCCTGAACCATTAAGTGCTGAATCAGTAAGAGGTCTAAACCATTAAGAGTTAGTATATTACTTAACTATTCAAAGGCAAATGTCTGATCAATTCAGATAAGAGGTCTTAACCATTCAGACTTTGTATAATACTTAACCATTCAGACATCTGAACCATTAAGAGGCTGAAACAAACAGTCTGAACCATTAAGTGCTGAACCATTCAGACATCTGAACCATTAAGAGGCTGAAACAAACAACCCCTAAGTGTTTTTTAGAACGGAGAGAGTTAATGACAAGTTAAACATAATCCTTGAGCCAAACGGGTGCTTTGCTTACATGCCCCGACCGTATTGAACGAGCCCAGTAAGTTGATACAAGTGGTATCTGCGAGAAGCACTGAGAAGAGGGACCGGAAGAGAGGAAGAAGAGGGAAGAGAAGGGTTGAGATATGAGACTAAACTTCTTTCTTGTTACTATTTCTGAATAATAGCATCCATATTTATAACAAGAAATCTTAACCCTGTCGGTTCAAGAAAAACATCGAGGTAAAGAACTAAAAAGAAATACACGAAGGAGCTTATAAAACGCTCTCTTGAAATAATCTAAAATACACTAACCGATAAGAATAAATAATGAATGACAAGTATTTAAACATAATCCTTGAGCCGAACATGTGCTCTGGTTACACGCCCCACCATCTTGAACGAACCCGGCAAGTTGTTACAAGTGGTAACTGCGAGAAGCACTGAGAAGAGAGACCGGAAGAGAGGAAGAAGAAGAGGGAAGAGAAGGATTGAGATATGAGACTAAACTTCTTTCTTGTTATTATTTCTGAATAATAGCATTCATATTTATATATAACAAGAAACCTTAACCATGTCGGTTTAGGAAAAACATCGAGGTAAAAAAATAAAAAGAATGACAAGTACTTAAACATAATCCTTGTGCCGAACGGGTTCTTTGGTTACACGCCCCGACCATCTTCAAACTCGGCATCCTCGCCCAAAACACATCCCGTATATTTAATACTCCGTAAATATCTAAAACAATTAAACAAATAAGGCGAGGAGTACGTACTTACCCCGCTGAATCGCGAGTTCTTCCACGCCTCAAGTTGTGTCTCGATTATTGTTCTTGTTCGCTAAGCAAAATGGAGATCGCAGAGTAGAATTAGAGAGGCGAAATGGAAAGGGAATGGCCAAATGAGACACGCAGTTGTCAAAGACCTAAAGTGAGACTCGCGTTTTTGACTCTTTGGGCCTGTTTGGGAATAGCGTTAGCGTTTTGGATAAAATTTTAACGGTGCAGATTACTTTGAAAACGCTAACGCTAAATGCTGCCCGTAGATAGCCTTTTCAAAACACTAACGCTAATGGCTAACGCTATTCCCAAACCAGCCCAAATTGTTTTGTAAAAAGTATTTTTCGAACTGACTTTTTCGATTAGAGTTAGCATTTTGAGTAAAAATTTAACGGTTTAGATTAATTTTGAAAACACTAACGCTAAATATTACTTTTTTTTAAAACGCTAACGCTAATCTCTAACGCTATTCCCAAAAATCCTTTTATTTGTTAAAGAGATTTGATTGTAGATGAAAAATTAAAAAATAAAATTTATATTATAAAATACTCCCTCCGTACCACAAAACCCTTCCGGTTTTGACTTTGGGAAAAATAAGGAAAGTATAATTTTGGTTGACTTTCCAATTTTGCCCCTGATGTGATGGGAAAAAGTAAAATGAGATAGTTTGGTTATTAGTGAAAAAGTATGATGTGATAGGTAGGGTATGAAAAAGTTGTTGGAATTTTTGGCATTTTAATTGGCATTAAATGGACCAATTTGGGTATATTTTTCAATAGGTCCACTAACGGTTTTAACCGTTTATTAATGGACGTGTGTTCTCTTAAATGAGATAAATGTTTTGACAATTTATACGCCAAAAATGGTAGAGGGTGAATGAGAAATTGATTCTCAGAGTTAACCCGTTAATAAAAGAATATGGTGAGGATTGCAATTTTTGCAATTTTACTGAACCAATCTTCTTTTATTAATTTTACGTATTGTTTAAAATTAGTCCATTTTTACGGAGTTAACTGGCCATTAATCTCCAATTATTCGGGACAAATTTTAAACGGAGCGTAGCGTAACGGACGTGTTAATGGCTAATTAATCACCATTAACACACCACTAATGCCATGATTAATTCAATGGGTTAATGGTGTAGGAGTTACAACTTTTAAAACTCCTTTATTATAAAAATCAAAGGCTCTCTCATTTGTTTTGTGTGTGCCTTGCGTGAGGAAGAGAGGAAAAAAGAGAAAACACTTTATTANATTTTCTTTTAGAGAGAGCTCTTGATTTTCCGGCCAATTTTTCCGGCAACCCCTTTAAAGTTTTTGGTCGTCAACGTTCCTACGTTGTTCTTGTTCGTTGGTCCGTACAATCTCCACACACGATAGCGGTTTTATCCTGGGAGGAGAGTGCCCACGTTTTCCGGTACGGTAGGCGGGCACTACTATCTTAAGGACAGCTCCGGCGACTCCGCTGTCCTTCCACGGTGTTGTGTTTTTGCAGGTTCAGTTCATAAAGACCTCGCTGCATTCTGTCCTAATGCATAATGTCCTCGCAGCCCAGTGCATAATGTCCTCGCAGCCCTGTGCATAACGTCCTTTGCTTGCTGTCCAGTGCTTAAAGACCTCGCTGCCCAGTGCTTAAAGACCTCGCTGTCCAGTGCTTAACGTCCTCACTGTCCAGTCCTTAATGTCCTCGTACAACAAGGCCGTTTGAAGATATAGCAATTTTTCTCAACTTTGTTTATTTTGTAATATTCTGAATAAATTATAAATTCAGAATTTTATTTATTTTTATTTTCCGAAGCTGTTCATCTTCCCCGTCCGTTGTAATCCGTACAAAAATTGTAACAAAAGTAGGGGTAAAAGTGGTTTTTTAATAGAAAGTGGAAGTGTTTTGTGGAAAGCAAAAAAAACGAAAGAGGAAGAATTTTGTGGAACGGAGGGTGTACTATCTAAAAAGTTTTACAAAATGAAAGGTGACAAAACTACGAAGTATTTTTTAAATAAGCCGTAAAAAATAATGATGTACAAATAGTCAGTGCCTCTGGCTATGCTGGGGCTTGAACTTGGTCGTCCTACCACTCAAGATAGAGAAGAAGTTCTTGTCATAAAATATTAAAGAGCCTATTTTAGCATATAGAACTTTTTTTTATTTTTAACTAGATATTTCTTCATTTTTTTGAATTTTTCTGAATCATTCTAACTTCATCCAATTTCTTAATTTCTTCTTTTTACCTAAACTCTTTCAAATATTTTTAGTTTTTTTCCAAAATTCTGCTTATCCACCCAAAGACAGAGCTCCTAAGATGATGTTTATACTTTAACTTAAGAAAATTTTAAATAAAAATATTTAAAAGTGGAAATGGTTAAGAATCTCTACTTTATTATTCTACATCAATATGAATAATTCTACATATCTCCACTAGCATTTTCATCCTTCTCATTTTTAATTTGTTGATTTGTTCTTTTATCATATGTCTTGATTCTATTCGGTGAGTCTAGTCCTTTAATTTTAACTTATAACTTAAAATCTGAAATTAAAAATTATAATTTTTAATTTGTAGATATTCAATGTAAAAAAAATTATTTTTAATCTTTAATTATTAGGTTTTTATCTTTTAAACTTATAATTCATTTTTAATATCATATATTTTTGTGGGACCAAACAACAAAATTCAATTTGAGGTTTTTTCATTTCCAATTTCATGACCTCAATTTCGTAAACTAAATGATGCCTAATTTTATCGTTTTTTATGATTAAGATATTTAAATTAAATGTCAATAAAATCAATACCGACCGATAAAACGTTGTTGCTAAAACTATAAACAATATCGACATATAATTTTTTGTTGCTAAAACTATAAACAATAACGACAGATAAATTTTTGTTGTTAATACTATAAACAATACCGAAAGATAAATTTTTTGTTGCTAATACTATAAACAATACTGACAGATAAAATTTTGTCGCTAAAACTATAAGCAAGACTGACATATAAAAGTTTGTTTCTAAAACTATAATCAATAGCGACAGATATTACTCTTTCTGTGGGTTAAATAGTTTTTGCCTTCAAAAAATTTTATCCGTCGGTAATATTCTCTTTTTAGCGACAAATAAGGTTTCTGTCCCTAAGGATGTGTCAGTAATGCACTCTTTTCTTTGTAGGAGCATCCATTTCAAGGATAAATATGTCATTGAAATCGGGCAAACATAGCACTAAAGGAGATGTCACAAAACCGCACAAAAGCTGTCCTTCTTCAAAAGAAAGGAATGGGGGTGACCAACATAGCATATGACTTGATGAAGCGCCGATAACAGCGTATGAGTCCTTAAGAAACCCGTAATTTTTTAATGTTCTGGGGACTCGACCAGGTGTGCATTGCAGCAACTTTGTTAGGGTCCGCCCTTAGTTATCCCCGAGTGTCCAAATTAGATCAGAAACAATTTTAAATATAACTACAATCAAATCAGATTAGACAAAATCTTTTAAAAAGTCAGATCATATCAAATCAAGTGGTCGAATCGGAATGTAGCCTAAATCAGGGTCATGGAAACCGAGTTTAATCCCTGATAAGGAGAAGGATTATTATATTCAACCTTGAGGAATCAGATGTGAATGAGTAGTTGTACCACATTTCTGCAGCAATAAAATGGATATAAACAAGATTTTGATTGCCGCGGAGAGAAGGGCAAAAAGGGAGGCCCGGAGTTGAGCGTCGATGATCATCATTCAATTCATTGATCATGGGTTGGGTTTGGTTTCAAAACTAGTTGTTTTTTTTTCAAACAAATGATGTGTTTAGAGAGTTGCTTTAACACATAGTAGAAGACTAAGACGGATAATTATTGTCATCTTCTAGTTTAACAGGAACAAGAGATCGAGTGCAAATTGCGAAGAAAGAGTCTCTCAAATCTCCAAGTAGAGAATCAAATTGATCCTTCCCATCCACTACTAGATCCGCTTGTCATGTTTGGACGTGAAGATGAGCGTCAGCCCTGTAGATTAGCGTTAGCGTTTTGAAAAAGTTATCCGACGATAGCCGGCCTTTAGCGTTAGCGTTTTCAGAATTAATCTGCACCGTTAAAATTTTATCCAAAACGCTAACGCTAATCGAAAACGGTGTTACCAAACGAAGCCGACGTCGGATGGAAGAAGGTTGTGCCAATCGCCGATTTTTGTTGTCGGTGATAAAGCCATATATGGAAGAGACCGACGACAGTCAAGCCGAAAGGGGAACGACGGTCAGGCTGGAAAAAGAAAGAAAATGAGACCGAAAGCTATGATACCCCACACACACACACACACATACATATATATTAATATATATATATATATATATATATATATATATATAGAATAATTGAAAGATACATCTCATCATATATACTCCCTCCGTCCCAAAAAGTTTGTTACGTTTAGAAAAAACTGCGTCCCGTAAAGTCCGTTACATTTCTATCAAAAAACCACTTTTACCCCTTACTTTTTCATACCCTACCTATCACATCATACCTTTTTTCTAATAATCTACCCATCACATCCTACTTTACCCATCACATCAAGGGTATTTTTGGAAAGTCAATACCAAAATATCCCTCCCTTAATTTTCCAAAATGTCAAACCGTCCCATTCTTTTTGGGACGGAGGGACTACAAAGCAAGGACTCCTAACAAATTTTAGAATCAAATATAGAAGTTAACTAAAATATACCATAATTAAAATTGGCTAGTATTGATTGTCTATTACCTTCCACTTTAACTCCTTCCTTATTCATCAATAAAATACTCAGTATATAATTTGACCCTCGAATACTAAAAGGACTATGTTAAAGTGTTTCACATTAAAAGTTGAAAAAAAAGACATTGGTATATAAGGTTGAGTTGAACTAAGTAATCGATTGGATTCAATTTTTTAATATGGTTCAACTCAAGTACCTTATGGTCCAATCCAGTAACCCATATATACCTCATCCTTGTTTGTTAAGGTATTGGTCAAGCTCAAGTCTTTAGCCCAGTTCGTTGTTCATGGAAAATGCATACCCAACCGCTTGTGACCCATTTAACTCAATTCTTGGTCTAGAAATCAATACCTGACGACTCAAGATCCTTTAGGTGTTGCCTCTCAAATATTTTTTGAGGAGGATTTGAATCCATTTGGAAGTGGTAAACCAACTAGATTTAAAATAACACGGTTGTCGACTTGAGGGGAGTATTAGAGTATTCCACATTGAAAGTTGAAGAAAAAAGTAATCGGAATAAAAGCTCTTGCATTAAACAAAGTAATCGATTAGATTCCGATCTTTTAATGTGGTTCAACCCAAGTGTCTTATGACTTAATCCAATAACCCATGCCACATCCTTCATTATATGAGACTCTTTTTTATTTGTTTGGACCAATAGAATATATAATTTGCAATATAAAGTGGTTAATGAAGTCAGACTACTATTCTTCTTCTTTTTTCAATTAATAAGAGGAAGCTATATACTATTCTATACCAACTTATAATGGAGTAATAAAATTCCAAAAGGACACCATGCATACTAACTTAAAATGTTCTTTCCATTAAAAAAAAAAGCAAAGACAAAGAAATAGCCAATACAAGCCATTTCATATATAAGAAGCCACAAAGCATATAACTTGTGGACTCACATATGTATAAACTAGATTAACTCCAGCCATTTCGTACAACATACTTCGTATTTATTATTATTATTATTATTATTATTATTATTACTGTATTATTATTATTACTGTATTATTATTATTATCAATGTATATTATTCCAACTTATAAGATATAAGAAAAATAAGGTATTAATTGTAGTAAATATAATATGAGATGAAGTTATACTTCTGCCTTATCCTTCTCCTCCTCTTCCTCCTTCTGGGGATTCTCCTCCCCCAGCTCAAAGGCGGAGGTAGGAAAAGTCCGGGACAACCCGGTGGTGCTTTTGAAGTGGATCTTCCCAGTGGGGGGATCGTCGAGGGAGATCTCATTCACTGTCAACCATAACATGAGCTCCATCGCCTTGACCCCGGCCAGCTTCTTGATCTTGCCTGGTTCAATGATCGCTGTGACCTCGGTCGCGTACTGGACCGACCGCCCGATCTGCTCGAACTTGTGTTCGGTCGGCTTCTTGGACTTGAGCCACACGAACCCGGTGTCCTTCACGTACCCGCACTCCTCCATGTCCTTTATGGGCAGCAGCCCGTTGGGAAACTTCATTTCGGTCAGCAGGAATTTCGCTTTCTCTTGGCACTTTTCGTCCCCTTCGTAGAACTCCGTCGCGCTCTCTCTGATTTCTTTTGTGATTAGAGATGACATTTTTCTTCTTCTTCTTCTTCTAATTGATTTTTTTACTTAAACTTTTGGGGCGTTTGCAGTTTATATAGTTGGGGTCTGGGGCACAAAGGTATGGTCTTGTTTTTTAGGAGTAAATTGAGTCTTGTTTTTTCTTTATCCAGCTAGAGGAGGTATTGCCAATTTTGAAGTGTACACAATGCATATTAATTAGTTATCTATGAACTTCTGAAAATGTTACAAGTCCAATTTAATGGCTTTGAAATGGTTCTTCAATATTTGAAAAATTCAAATTTGAAATAATGAGGATATTTGTGATGGATTTTGTTTGAAAAAAAAGTATTTGTTCTTAAGATAAGTTATAAATAAAATTAGATCAAAAAAAAATTTTAATCATTTATTATAAATTGAAACGGAAACTTTTATCCTAAGATTAAAAGGATGAATATACGGAGTACTACTTAAAAGGCAATTTTTAATAGTCCTTCCGTCAAAGATGAAGTATTTGTCTAGTTTAGAATTTTTACATTCAGTCAAGATCAACATTTGGCTTATAATTAAAAAAAATTATACAGTATATTAATTATATAAAATAAGATTTTGAAAATACTTTACAAAATAAATCTTATTAAATTATTTTTAGTATTAATATATTATATCAATTTAGTTTATTTAATTTATGATTAAATTTTGTTAATTTTAAGAGTAAAAAGTCAAAATTGCAAAAAAACATTCTCAGATGAGGATAATACTTGTAGTTAGTTGAGTGTAGTGCTCATTTTATGTAGCTCTTGTTGACATTATTTTTTAGACAAGCGAATTACTTTATTTAGAATATATACTCCGTATTATACTATAGTAGTAGCGTCTTGTTATCAATTTTAGTAAATTTTAGTTGTTTTGAAAGATGAATATAAAAGAATATACACACTTTTGAAATACTTCCTCCATTCTCAAAAACACTTCTTTTTTCATTTTTTTACTTTTAACAAAACAATTCTATTTTCTATTAAAAAACTACTTTTACCCATACTTTTTTGTACCACACCTATCACATCATATTTTTTTCTTTAATAATCTATTCATCACATCTTATTGTTACCCATCACATCAAAGGTAAAATTGGAAGTCAACTAGGAGTAAAAGTTATGTCATATGTTCAAAATAGGAGTTCAAATTTTAACTTCTCTAAATAAGAGTAATTAATTACTCCGTAATTTGTGTCCTCAATTAGTAGTACTCTCTTCTCACGCTCTCTTCTCCTTTTTTTGTTTTTTTCTTTTCTTGCGTGCATTAAGGGGGGTTGGGCATTGGCATTGAGTTATGGGTAGGAATTAGAATAGATTAGGAAATTAATTACTCCCTCCGTCCTAAAATTAATTTCCCATTTGTCTTTTTACGGTCTCTAATGCGATACTTTGACCATTAATATCTCAATTTTTATATAAGAAAATCCCCTAAATAGGAGTAAAACATGTGTTGCATCCTCAAAGTAGGAGTTCAAACTTAAACTCTTCTAAATAGGAGTAATTAACTATTTTTATTTTACAATCGTTTAACCGCCAAGAGAAGAAATGGAACACCTTCTTTAGTGGAAATTAAATGAACGTGCAGTGCTAACTCTCATGCATGCATGGATGCCAACATATGGCTAGGTAGTACTTTTTCAATCCAAATTCTTTATGTTTGTTTTCTTTCTTTTTTTTTCGGGATTCTTTTTTTTATTATTATGGGTGGGGGTTGATTTTTTTTGTTTTTTGGCATAGAGCTAACAATGGAGAGATTGTGTGTTTGTTTATTTTAATTGTCTTCTTTCCATAATTAATGACTTCATGAGCTTGATGCATGCACATGTACCACAGAGTACAATTGAACTTTTGGCATTTTGCAGAACCACGTTTGTAACTGTGCATTGACATCTTCGGTATTTTGTTTTCGATTGACCTAAAATTTTGTATTTTTGCATCTTACAATGTCATGTTTGTCATTGTATGTAGTCATTTTTAGCATTGTATTTTCGATTGACAGTGTATGAATTATTTTTTCTCCATGATCGGAAATTATCTGATTTTGAACCAAAATGATCAAAATTTTACCGGGCCTTAATCTTTTACTAGGCCTTAATCTTTTGCCCAGAGACCGGTTTGAAATTTTTAAATTTTTTTAACTTTGATCTAATTTTCCAATCCGACTGGGATTTTGTACCCTTAGTCTCCAAATTTAAAAAAAGATGAGTTCTATAATTAAAGAGCCTGATGCAGTGGGACCGTTAGATCCCCGCAGCAAAGATTTAACCTATTGCTCCCAGTGTATGGCCGAGAAGTGGCAGATCTTGGCAGTGGCAAGTCAACAACTCTTATTTTGGGATTTTATGTTTTCACTCCTATTTTGGATTTTTATCAATGTTTTACTCCTATTTAGCTCCTTAACCCTTTTTATATAAATATATTATATAAAAATTATATATTTTAAAACTATGTTTCAAATTTAATCTATTGCTAACACTACAAAAACTCCCGGAATTGGCACGGAATATTAGGCACAGACATTCCGTGCCTATGCCGAAAAAAAGAAAGATGACACATGGCGTGTTTCTATTTGCGTTTTACTTTGGCTCTGCATTTGTCCGTGCCTAATTCCGTGCCAATAGCGTAAACGTTAAGACGTTAACGGTGTTGTCGGACGGCGATTATTCTAACTAATATGCACGGATTTAGCCGTTCCAACCCCTTACCTTTCTCTTAAAAGTCAAAATCAAAAAGGACAAGACTATTTTGTCATGGAAATAGTCGTGCCTAAATCTGTGCCTCTACCCGTAGTACATAATTTTATTTATTTAAACATTTAAATCATACTCATAACAAAAAACTTTTATCTTTTAAATATATTAAAATCGGAAGATAACAAGACTACAATTAGAGAAGAGTACATGATACAACTTTTTTTAGATGAAATAAAGAAAGAACTACAAAAATAAAAAATTATAAAAACTTATCCAAATAAAATATCTACATCTATCGTCTTTATCCAAATAAAACAACTACATCCTAAAGTTTTTGTACTAAAGTTTTCTACTCCCTCCGTCCTAAAATATAAGCAACACTCCATTATTTAAAAATCACAAGAACTTTTATTTATTTTTGCATTTTCATTAATTATTTGATAGAATAAAATATTCTTGTCACCACTTGTTTTGTAGAACTTTTGACGTAGTTTTTAAATATGTAATTTTTTTTTGATTTGTAGACCATTCTTTAAATAAAATGGATTGAAAATTTTTTGGGACAGAG